TGGTAAACACACTTTCATGGACCAGAGACATGACTGCAATGGTGACAGATACCCGTGGAAAAGCGCTACGCTCTCTGTTGTTCTGGCAGGAAAGTGCTTTGCAACACTCCACAGGTAAAGCCTGATTTGTACTTCGCCGTAAGCCCGGGTGCGGCGTTGCGCACACACATTGTGTGAGGATTGGTGGGTGAGCTGAGTGGCCAGGAAGTTTGGCTGCAGCGTGTCTGAATGACCCAAACGCGGAAGAGCGAGCATCGGGAATAAATAGGCACATGGTTTAATCTAGGAGCATTCCGGGACCGGATCAGAGGGAAGGCCGAGCGGATATTCCAGAGTAAAAGAAAGCTGACTTACTGATAATCAGAGAGCTGGTTGAGTAGAGAACTCGTGAGTCGGATCGTTGAAATGGTGACTGAATAGAGGCGAGAGGGTGAGACTTCCGTATATAGACTGAACGTGATGACGTGGATGGTGAAAGGGATGCTGGAAGTTGTAGTTAGGAGGAGGAATCCCGGTTGGCGGAGTAATGTGGGGTGGAAGATGTGACACACTGACAAAGGGGTTTTCTCTACGGACGTCTCGGTTGCCTGAGGAGTGTTGCAAAGCAGTTAACCACCAAAATAACAGAGGGAATGGTGCTTCTGGAGTGTCTCTAAACCAGCGTTTTCCATAATTTCCTTCCACAAAAAAAATTGCTGCATATCTTTGTACTAATTTAGCCTCAAGTGCATAAACGTTTAAATCTTTGGACTTTTACAATGAGACATTCTTCAATCTGATCCATGTCTGCGGTTACGTATCTTTAGTAATGGATTTATTTACTTATAATTTTTTCTGAAGGAGGGAATGGTAGTGCTTTAAAATGAAGCAGATGCCTGAGCAATGGGAAGGAGGACCCTCTGGAAAACATGATGGTTTATCTTAAAGGGCTTTATCCTCCTAAAATAAATGTAAATAAATAAAGTAAATGTCATTACAAAAGAATTTATTTCTTCTATGGTCATACAAAAATACCACGCAGATTTATGTTAACCAAAAATACATTTTACAATCAGCAACAGCATTAGCATGTAAAAGGGAGACAGTTTTAGTTTTTCAATTGCAGTGGTTTTATCTTTGTAAAGAATTTTCATTTAAAGGTTTTTGGGTAAAACAGTTAATCTTGCAGGAAAACAGTTTACTCACTCAGTGTGTGTAATGAGACACTTGCATCTATAACTAAAAAATGTGAATTGTTCACATGATTTAGGATATTTTCCCATTGAACCTGTGAGGAAAAATAAAAATGCATTTTACAAAAATCAAGTTTCTATAGAAAACAGATGTTTATTTTACCTATGCATCCTCTTTCAAAATAACAGACGTGTCAGACAAGTTCTGCTTTTTGTTAAAAAAAAGAGTAACAATCTGGGTTATTTTAAACATTCTTGTATTTTAAAGGTTTAATAGCAGGTAAACAAGAAAGTGAAGCAAACTTCAATTCATTCTCCCTACTGTCTGGGTTGTTTATGCTGTAATCTGATGATCTAATCTGAACTACATGTAATCCCATACTGCCCACTCCTGAGCACGGACAAACGAACTCTCCTCCACTGCACCCTCCTCTAATGATCCCTCTGTCTCCTGCACTGGGAGAAGTGAAGGTGAGTATCTGCCTCCAGTCATCTCCCTCCACCTCTCAAAGACAGACAGCTGGAATAGACAAGCCACTCTCTCTTTTTTTTCCAGTGTGTGTGTGTGTGTGTGTGTGACTGTATGGGGAGAAGATTTTCAAAAATGTATTAAACTCCAAGCAATAAAATATAGACCAGGTGGGGTCAAACCTGCAGCAGCTCTCCCGACTCGACTGCAGCCACTGTGAGAGAAGAGGAGGACGAGGGAAGAGTCTAACAAGAGGAGAGGAAAGGGGAAGGAACTATTAATAATGCAGAGTACACTGTATACAGCTGAAGGTAGACACTGTCTGGGAGGGGGGGGGGGGGGGGGGTCCCTCTCAATCTGGACTTCTCTATTATAAAGTTTGTAACCAGGTTTTTTTTTGAGCAGATGATCTTTAATTTAATGGCATCAATAAAGATGTTGAAACAAAATGAATTTAGTTTCACAAACTGTGAATTCTTCCTTCTTCTGATTGTCGTGTTTCCATTCTCCCTCGTGCTTTTTTTTTTATTTCGCCCCTCTTCCACCCTAGTCGCTGACGTTCCTGTACGGCTCCTCCTCTCTCGTTGCATCTTTTGTATTGTAAACAGCTCACAAAAGCATGACAAGGTCTCAGCAAATGTTCCCCCCAGCCTCCTCCTCTGTTCTCCCAGCTATTTGTTATTGTCTACCCGTTATCGTGTGTGTGTGTGTGTGTGTGTGTGTGTGTGTGTGTGTGTGTGTGTGTGTGTGTGTGTGTGTGTGTGTGTGTGTGTGTGTGTGTGTGTGTGTTTGTCTCCATCACATGTTCTTTATTCTGTTTTTTTCCTCAGTGTCAGAAAAGCAAAAGTTAATTAAATATGGAACGAGATGGAGCAGCATCTCTTTAAACTATCATGTCATTAAAATGGCATCCCTGGGAGATCAGCTTAAAAGGAGTTGGAGAACAATGTCTCCTCAGTCAGATATTTATGGGCCTGGTTATGTAAACATGCTCCCTTTATTCGCCATGTATATTTCATGTAATTATCACTTTTTGTAGCTCTAGCCCCATGAGGTTCGTGGAGGCAAGAAGTTACTAGGGGAATTTCATTAGAGGAGACTATTGTTACAGCGCTGCTGCGCTACTGCACCAGGAAGGGGTGGCAGAGAGGAAAGAAGCTATGTTTCTATCCCGATGAAATGTTTCATCTATATTTGACTTCATCGTATTATAATCACCGTCTTATTGCAGCGTTTCTGCAGCTGCAAGAAACAGGCCTACATTCTCTGCCCGTCTTTAATAAAACCAAGAAACATGCTGAGTAAAGCACACAATTGTATTTTGTCCTCCTCCAAGCGTGCATTTCTAAATACCAAGAAAATTCACTGATGATTTCCTGGTTTGCCAAGAAACCTTGATGCTTCTTTCACAGCCTGACTATTTGTGCGTGCATGTACAGTATATGTGTGCGTGTGTTTTCATCTAGAAGAGAAGGAAACTAGATTCCTTCTGCAGCAAAAAGCCAGCAAGTGCGCTTGAAGGCCTGGGTGCCAGCTAACGGAAGCTGCTAATTAAGAGGGCTGGAGTGCCAGTGGGTGAGGGGGGGCCTTACCAAACAGGGGCACCTGGGTTTCACACGAGGGAGCTGGGTGTCCATCCCAACTCATCGTGGGTTGCACAGAGAAAATTTGTCAGCAGCTCAGTGCTATCTCACATAGAACGATGCATTTCCAAATGCAGCCTCCTCTCTTCCTGTGTCGCTGCTCACATGCCACCACCGAGGGAGGTGTCACTGCAAAGCATGATGAGAATACACATGTCAATGTGCTTTCTGTACGTGCAAATAGAAACAAGCGAATGACGCGTACTCACAGGACCTAAAACTCCCACGTGCGTAACTTGACGCTCCACTCTTTTCCATTGTTCATCCGGTCTTCTTTGCTGCAGGGTCAAAAAGTCTTTAACTAATCTAAGTGGCTCTGACTTAAGGGACAATAAAAGGTCTGCCATGAGTGCTGTCATTACACTTTCACACACCAGAGGCAGACACCAGCCCTGAACCTCCTGTATTGCTATCCAGCCCTGCACCACAGATGCACTAAACCCAAGTGAACCACAGTTTCCAAAGTCGACTGCAATAACCACTGCAGAATTGCTTTTAATCAACGTCTGAAATGAGGGTGACTTGAAGCGTCGCCCCATGCTGATTAAATGTAATTGTTTAATTGCCAAGTGCTGGGAACCCATCCTAAGAGGATTCCAATGGAATTATTTAAGCTCTAGTCAGGAGGTACACTGCAGGAAAAAAGGAGGAAAAACGGAAGAAGAGGAGAGGCCAAAAATCCAGCAGAAATAGACTTTTTCTTTCTTTTTAAGTATCTCCCTGATGAAATATTAACTGGGGTTTACATTTAGTCTGCTCAGAAAATGAACAGCCTGCGCCGGGGCAGAAAAGAACACTAAGTGAAGCTCCAGCTTCTAAAGGGGGTCATAGTTCTGACCTCTTTTTGCACACCAAAATGGTTTGATCTTGTCTGCATGTTCTCTTCTTCATTCCAGTTTTATCCTCCCCCCCTTCCAAAAGGGAAGTGTGTGGAATGTCGACTTCAGCTTGGCGTGTACACATTTAGTCAGATGATGTTAAATAACTTCAAAGAGACGCAACAAAGGATTTGTACGAAATTACATCTCAAAGAGCCTCATTGAGAATTTTAAAAAGGCTCTCAACTCAGCTGAGTCTCTTTCTGCTGCTTTTAGTCAGGAGGATCTACCAAAAGCAGTGGGGCTAAGCAACACACAAACACACACGCCTTCACACTCCCTCATTATTATCTCTCATCAGTATTTCCCATGGCGCTCCCTTTCCTAGACCAATTTAAGCTGGCACGATCCCCGACACAGTCCCCATCAGCGACCAATAGGATTGGCACACATACCGTGACATTTCAATCTATCAACAAAATCAATAGCAGTATCCCACCTAATATAACTGCACACAGTGCGGGTGCTCCACAGTGAAGCTGCTCTTGCTGTCGCATTTGAGAGTAAACCCAGTCCTGCCATTCTGCTGATAAATGCAGTTCTGTCAGCCCCAGGGAAATGTGCCTGCATCCCTCTGGTCAGAAGTGTGCTACTGCCCCCCAACACACACACACACACACACACACACACACACACACACACACACACACACACACACACACACACACACACACACACACACACACACACACACACACACACACACACACACACAGTGGGCAGAGAGGGAGCAACGAGGGAGGAGGAGCAGAGGCCTGCTCCCTGCAGCTGTGCCCTTATTCCCAGCACCTGGCCAGGGGCCCAGATGTGCACACAGGCAACAGCAACAATTTGAGCAATGCGAGTCCCAGGTGGGACCGAGGCACCTGCAAACGCAGCCTCACTATCTGCCACAATGGCGTAATTACAAAGCTTACAAGTCTGCATCTGGAAAGAAGGATTTAATCTTAACAAATCAAGCCAACAGACACAGAAACAACAGGACAAAAAAACAATATTGCACTCTCAGCTTTTTATGTGCACATTAAACAAAAGCTGCTCAATGTTTGGCACTAATCCAGCAACAACAGGACACAATACGGTCATTTACAGTGAAGCAGAAGAAATCCATCGGATGTATTTCACAGTGTGCATAAAGATCATCTGCTGCTGTTGAGACAGATGAGCTTTTTTTGTTTGTTCCTTAAATTCTCCTCTGTAAAATAAAACAAAAGCATTTTTGCAGGATATTTTTATCAAAACCAAATAAATTCGTTAAAACTGTTTTCAAAAACTGTTAAACAAATGTTATTAAGCATACTAATTATACAGGTTGCAATTGAATGCAGCATTCATGTTTTATAGACTAGTGAGGATAAAGCCATGGGTTGACTCGTTTAAGTGAAAAATAAAAGACAAAACAAACAAATCCACACTTAAATAACCTAAAGTGTTAAAAATGATGAGAAGTTCTAATTTTGACTTCACACAAGGAAGGTTTGTGGTGACATCTGGTGGTCTAAAAGGTTACATGCACCTGCCTGTTACAATAAAAATGTATTTTGCACGGTTTTCAAATAAAATCATGTAATTTTTACAAATTAATACAAGGTTTGAAATGAATAAAATATCTTAGGACTATTTTTTTATTAACTGTGGATAAATACGCTTTTAGAAGTGAATAAAATGTAAAAGTATGTTACTAAAGTGTATTTGGGGGGAAATTGGCAAAAAATGTTTGGTTTTGACATCATATTTTGTTTTTTACATTTAAACACAATGATCAGTTATGTTTCCATCCCTGTCAATTAGAGATATGGAAACTTCCCAACAGCAGAGGGTGGTGTTGATCTGTTTTAAACCAGCTGAAGAAAGACCACCACACTGAGGCCAACACTTTTAACAACCGGTGTAATGTTTTTTCTGGATATCAAATTATAAACAAATAATAAAGATTCTTACAACTGTATTATAATAAAATACAGTTTTAGCACAAGTGATGCACGATACCTTCACTTCCTCACTTCTACAAATTATGATAATCCTGTTTGTGGGATTAAAATCTCATGCTGAATACACAAAACTGTGACAAAAGGATACACAAGCGTACATATCATCCAAACACTGAAAGAGCACGTTTAAAGATGGTGCTCCATAATGAGTTTCAGGTTATATTTTAATAGTTCTGATAGCGTTCGTACATGAAGGTGAATTTGATGGTCACTGACCGACACGTAGGACAGACGACGGGGAAGTTGTGTACCGCTTTGGGCAGAGAATCTTACTGAAAGCCCGCCGAAAGCTACTGTGGCACAGAGGGTACAGGAAGGGGTTAATGGCAGAGTTGAGCCACAGGAGCCAGAAGGTGACCTCATACCAGTGGTGTTGGATGCATTGCCCTCTGCAGGCGGCACGGATGATCATCAGTAGGGTGTAAGGTGCCCAGCAGATGGCAAACACACAAACTATGATGGCCAGGGACTTGGCAATTTTTTTATCCCTGGACAGACGGCTTGAATGAGCAGACCTGCTGGTGGAGGAATCCAGTTTACCCAAACACGGAGAGGAGGTCTGGGAGTTTACGGAGCCTCGCAGTTTCACTCCAACTCCCCAGTTGTGGGACAGGGTGACGCCTTTCCCCTGGGTAGAGGTGGGTTCACTTGACTGTAGCTGAAGCTGGGCCTCCCTGTGGTGGAGCCTCCTCCTGCGTATATTGAGGTAAATGCTGAGGTTGAAGAAAGCCACAGAGATGAAAGGAGAGAAAAACTCCAGCATGGAGGCACTCAGCAGGAAGTACCAAGAGTAATAGAACTCTGCAAAGCACTCGTCCTTCGGCACGCGGCTCCTACCCATCACCAGCTCCCAGAATATGATGGCTGGCCCATACAGGACAAAGGCCAACACCCAGACTGCAATCATCTTGATTATGGCTTGATGAGTCATGCTCTGTCTGGCACGGTAGCTCACCTGCATGAACAAAAAGTTCAGAATTAGAGAATAAATCTGAATAATGGTGCCAGTAAGACCACTTTCTTAAAACTGCAGACCTATTTGAACCACTGACTGTATAGACAAACCCTCCATAACCCGTAGGTTTCTGATAAACTGAATTGAAGCCCAGTGCCACCGCCATGGCCGCATCAAACGTCACTTATTAATCTGTGGGCAGGATTATGGTGGGGGCAGATTATTGACACCCATCAAACTCCGAGCCAGCGTAGCTGCGAGCGAATTGAACTAATTGAGCTAACCGAAGCTAACGGAGGCTTTTAGCCAGAAAACCACAGTTAGGCGACTCTTCTACGCTATGCCTTCTGCAACGCTTTACCATGATGCTGAGGCTGAGGCCTTCCCTGGAACAAGCAGGGGGCAAGTCGCTAGCATTAGTGCTGATGGTTTAATTGACACCTGTCAATCAAAGGGACAACGCCCTAATTATTCATCATTTCAAGCTTTAATTACATATAAATGGATGCGTTACAAAAGAAATCACCTCCCTTAGAGTTGTCATGATGGTGAACTTGACCTAAAATGGTTTATTGAACCAGGCAGTAAACATCTTTGTTACGTTCGTACTGTTTGTTTTCTGATTTTGTTTTCTTTAGTTCTTCGTTGTACACAGTGTAATGACAGTTTGTTCTTACCTTTGCCGACATGTTTGGACGTCGCCGCCAGCTTCGTCACCAACATCCGGCGGTTAACCTGACGTCGAAACATGTCGGCAAAGGTAAAAACAAACCCTCATTGCACTGTGTACAACGAAGAACTGAAGACAACGAAAAGGCTGTAAACATGTTTATTTCTGCGGCGAAGTTGACATTTTTAACACGGGAGTCAATAAGAACTTGCTCCTTTGCCAGCCCCTAGTGGACGAGGTGGGGACAGCAGTGTTTTGTTGCTGGACATCCCGCTCCACCTCCTGAGCTACTGCTGTCCTAGGTGAAACTAATATATAAAATTTACTCATTACATGCTAAACCAGACATTTAAACCTTTATTTTTTTTTTGTAATTGTGATGAGTATGACTTACAGCTGATGAAAACACCACATTCAAAATCTCAGACAGTTAGAAAAGGTTCAATATTCACTGATCATTTAGGTGTCACTCTAATCAGCTAATGAATCTAAAACCCCTGCAAAGATGGTCTCTAAGTCTAAATGAATTACTGACATAAATGGACTTTTGCATCATACTCTAATTTTTCCAGTTTTAGCTGTACATTAAGAAAAAAATGTTTGAAATATGAAGGAAATGCTGTTTTTGCACAATGATCCACAGTCGTTTTGTTTAGAAACTGGGTAATCATTGGTGATGTGCTTGTGTGTACGGGTGTGTGTGTGTGTGTGTTATTGTTATTTCTGTTGTTGTTGTTGTTGTTCTGTTTTATTTTTATTTTTTTCAAAGGGAAGCAATTTGGCTGTGAAAAGAAGACACTGCAGGAAGAGAATAGATAATAAGTTTGTAAACTAGTAGAAAATGTATAGTTCAATAATTATGAATGCTGATTATTTATTAAAAAGCATGACATGAATGAGGAAAACGTGTCGATGTTCTACCCTTTATAGGTGAAAGATCAGCCCAAATGTGTTTTTATGCACCAAATGCAGAAATGCATGCAACAATTTGCTTTTTCAGTCTTATGCAATAAACAATGACCAATCAGTGTATAATGGGAGCCATGTCCAGCTCCCTGACACCTTGCAGAGCATAAAAGCGTGTAAATGAGTATTAAGTCAATGAAGTACCTCTCGTGACCACTTGTCTCAACTATTGTCACATCCTGTGTCCATGCCTGTTCTGTGGATGGAGCACTCAGAAACCTCTTCAGCTCCTCTGAATAAATGTCACTGTGGTGGCTCCTAATTAGCTGTGGCTCATAGACGATGAAACTCTCCTCCACTTATGTCTGTATAAATTAGTTTGTGTTTCTCTTTGGAACCTGCTGCATCTACTCAAAACTGCATTTTTCATCCCAGCGTGTTACTTCGGATTATATTCAGAGACTTTTAGCTCATCCAGCCGACAGAGAATTGGCTTCCTCGCTGCTATTATGCCTTGTTTTGGGGTCTTTTTGGAGATGCTCTGTCATCCCAGCTGCGTGTCATCTGACTCCACCTTTCCTTTTCAAAGACAAACTGTGTCTCTGACTGCTGACAACCCTTTGTCCCCCAGTGTTCAGAGAGAAATGCTTTTAGGAAAATGTTACTCTGCTGCTTCTGCAGCGATTGATCTCTCCAGGTTGGAGGGACTGTGGCACAGAGGAGGACCTCCATGATCAAAGCTGTCTAATTAAAGAAGAGGTTCACTCTCTCTCTGGTGTTATTTTTATTCATTGCTCTGATGTTAAGTGTCCTCCTGTGAAAGGAAACAGAGCACCCTCTTTGTCTTCTTTTCTGTGCATCATCCCACCTCGGAACTATTACAGATTTAGCATAAATCAGCTGGCTGATGTATGGATGAGTCCAGACAAAAGGCTCAATCAAACACAAAAAAGTGTTAATTTTTGTGTAGTTCTGTCTTCATTTTATTATTTTGTTATGAGGGGAAAGGTAGTGGCACTGAGCCTGAATGGGTCAGGTGTGATTAACCTCCACAGATGGGACCATTTGGGGGACTAAGGTGGCAGTGCCAATGAGTCTCATCAGAAATAAAGCAACAGACCATTGTTATATGTTCATGAGGTAAGCAGGTTGAATCTCTTTACAAAAATCCTTAAATAGTCTAAAAAACTGCTTAAATAAACCAAAACTGCATAAATGATCAGTAGAAGCTAAGGTGATTTAACTCTATTAAGTCATTTTCTGTCACAAATCCCGTTAGAAATGATGTTTGTTGATAATAACCGCTGAGGGGACAGTGTGTTCCACTCACTGCTCTGGTGACTGAGAGGAAACGGTCGTAGCTGATGAGCACGATGCTGAAGACGGACGCTGAGCAGAGCAAGTAATCAGTGACCAGCCACAGCTTGCACAGCCCTCGACCCAGCGTCCACCTGCCTGTCAGGATGTAGGGGATGTAGACGGGGATGCAGAATGCACCTGCACAGGAACAGGCAAATGGATTTTCAGCTCTTATTAACAAATACTAGTGTGCACACAGGTCATTAGAGACGAAATAAGGTGTAATTTTGACAGCTGACAAGATGATTGGAAAAATAGAATAAAATCTAAAGAATTAGTGTGAAAATGCATGTTTGCAAAAGTCTGCCGGGGATTAAAGCTGATTTATGAGGATGTTTCTAAACTATTTGCAGCTTTATTTTCTTGAAATTGTGTCACTGCAGTGCTTGCAATTCCTGAAAACTAGTATTAATAAAGGTGATGTCACATAATAACAGGGCATCCATGTATTTGCAGCTTCAAACTTTAATCCTCACTGGCATCCAGGTGTCTTCAAAGGATGGAATAAATCAGATTAGACTCACCTACAAGAAAATCTGAGATTGCCAAATTCAAGAAGTAGTAATTGCATTGTCTCCTCAAACTCTTGTCCACTTTAAAAGCCAAAATAACCAGCGCGTTGCCCAGAACTATCACAACAACCAAAGTCACCATCATCACCGTCAAGACGACAAACATGGGTCCAGAGAACACAAAGCTGCGCTGGACTCTTGTTGAGGGATTGTCGAAATAGTAGCTCGTGGAGTTAGAGTCAGATTCCTCCTCCGACATGGTGCTGATGTCGTTAAATCCTCCACGTGATGACGCTAAAAAGTGATAAAGCAGCAACAGGTGCCAGACCAGTGGAGGCTGCGCTCAGCAGCCCCATATGTGCTCCGAAAGCTCCCGTTCTCTCGATGAAACTGCCCGAGAGCTCAGTGCGCAAACGCATCCACGAGAGAGCGCAAGACGCTCTCCGAAACGCATGCCTGGACACCTGATGGATTTTACGCACGTCTGCCAGCAGCGCCTGTGTGCATTTACATGGATGAAATGTGCACGTGAGCGTGCTTTTCTAGTAATACATTTGAATTCAGAGCGCAGACATGCCGCTCTGCAGAACATCCGAGTTTGGGTGCCCATCAGTGAGGAACAGTTAAGTTCTCTAATAATGAAAATACATTTTGTGCTTAAAAAAGTATTCCGTTCTAGGAATTCCCAACACTTCTTCTGTCGGTTTGAACTGACACTGGCGCGTGACCTCTAATCCACTCACTCCAGAGCCCACTTCTGTTTCATCCAAATGTCACCCACATGATGTGAATCAACACACTGGGCTGATTGGCTTTGTTTAACCACATTCACTCAGATTTCCCTGCTGGAATCCTTCATAGTTGATCCACAGAAACACATCTCCTCATTAAAGGTGAAATTAATACGATTCACAGGAAACAGAAGAAAAATGGCCCTGACGTGGACTCTGAGTGGATGTTGAAATAAAGCAAAGCAGAGGATATTTCTCGAGTCATAATTATCCTTTTAGTTAATAATGCAAAAGCAGTCATTTAAATTTCACAGTCCTATATATTTATATATAAATTGATTTCTTGTGCCTTCACAAAGCATTGTGTCTGTTTGAACCCCGGAGGGTTTTATCACTTTGTCCAATCAAATAAACAAATCAATGGTTTAAATCATAAAAAGTCAGAAAATGATTCTATAGAAAGGATAAAAGCATGTGACAACTATTTAACTATATTTTGTGGACAATAATACAAGTTTTTACACCTGTTTCATCATGTCATGAAATAACTGCAGCTGTTTCAAAAAGTGAAGCATAATGTATATCTTTTTTTGTTCTTTAATTATTCATGTTTGCTGTCACACAGGTCTTTCATGGTCTGACAGATGACTTTCTTTGAATAAAGGAAAGCATGCTTCATCTTCAAAGTCTCCTAAGGTTATATATATATATATATATATATATATATATATATATATATATATATATATATATATATATATATATATATATATATATATATATATGTATATATATATATAATTATCTGCAGCCATCCTTGAACTTGTCCAGTGTGGACCTAAGAAAACAACAGGACTGACTGAGGGAGCACAGTTTACTGTTATCTTCTCACAAATGACCCACCAGCAGCTCTCAGAGCTTCTCGCCTCGCAGATCGAATGCAGACACTGATGTATACAAAGTTGTTTTACTATACTGAGCATATTTAGGTGTCATCATTAAGAGAAAAGTGGTTGATTAATGGTTGGAATGGGTCTGGTGTTTACATTACTAGTTACATGAATATGAATGGGTGTTTTGGTGGATCTAGACCATGATTTGTCTCATATAAAGAGTGCAATTTAATTAACAATGTGGTTTTATGGAAATAAATGGCATGCATGTTGTCGATGGTTTGAATGAACTCAAACTGCTAATGTGCAGTAAAATGAGTCCTTCTTACATTATAATGAAAATGAAGTTTAGCAAAAGCATGATGATTCTGACACTGGCTAAGTTGTCATGGTAACAAAAAGAAATAAAAGACTTGCAAATTTGCAGAAATACTAGAGAAATTTTTTCAATGGCTTTCTGGTGAAGCGCAAATTACAAACAACAGTTGAAAAGTTTGGAAAAATTAGGAAAAGTAGTTGTTATGCATCTCAGGCTAACATTGTTTTTAAATGTCAGGCACTGTAATGCAAAAACTTGGATCAATATTTGGAAAACTGCCTTTTTTCTCAAATAACTGATATTCTTGTACCTTATTATTAATCAGAACTAGGATCTAATCAGTTCAGCAGGTGCAGTCTCTAGAAGAGGAAATCCAAAAGCAGAGACTTATTTAAATATGGAGGGCACTCAGAAACAAAGCAGTGTCATGGAGGCTACACAAAGGCTCTAGCAGTGCCAATTATACTGAGTCCTGCTGAGGCTCTCTACTTCTCTGCCACTCAAGTGTTTGTGTTTGGATGCTGGGCTGGAGTACAGATGCTATCCTACTGTGAGTGTGTCTGCCCGTCCACACTAATCTAGATATGATTCACCCATAAAACCTTAAAGTGTACATCTCAAGTCCCCACTTCACAAAAGGCATTTGGAAAGGGTTTTGTGAGATCACACACATGATCAGGCAAGACTTAAAGTGAGCTGATTTTAAAAGAAGGTCTTAAAAATTGTTCCGTCTGAATCTGTTCAACCAGGGTCTCTGTTTGCAAAACTATCATGAAATTAAAGGCAAAGAAAGTTGCCAGTTTGATTCCTGCCTGTGCTGACTTTCTGCACAAAGTTAGCGTGTTCTCTACATGCATACATGTTTTTTTCTCTAGGTTTGATAACATGCATGTTAATTAGAGACCATGAATTGTCCCAAGGTCTGAGTGCATGGTTAATTGCATCTGTGTGTCCCTGTGGTCGACTGGTGGATGGATGTTTAAAATATATTAAATTTGTCTTTTTATTACAATATTATTTTTTTGGTGAACTGATGTTTCTGTCTTATTTATTCAACCCAAAACAGAAGGGAACATCTATTGGAGGAAACTATAATTTTTTATGTGCCATGCTTTCATCATGCAGTCTTCACCTTCCAAACAAAACATTCAGCTTCAGAATCTTTTGTTTCCTTGGATTTCAAGCCTCTGAGCCTGTCAAGGCTGGAAGGGTTGGAAGAGCTTCAGCCAAACTGAATGGGTCCGTGAAGTCAGAACACATTTGTTTCTTAGAATTCTCAAACAGATAGAATATTTTATTTAAAGAGCAAGTCACCGCCCACCAGAGTATTACTCCACTCCCACTTCCTGTTTGAAAAATGCAACAAATGCTGTTGCCTAGCAGACCAAGAGGGCAGAGCTGCTAACAAATACACACACACACACGCTGTGTCTCAATTCAGGGTCTGAATCCTTCAAAGGACCCAGCCTACTCGGCCGATGTGGGCTGGGTCCTCCGTCGGCCGAGTAGACCGGATGTTGACGGCAGTGAATTTGGACAGGCCTAGCCTTCATGAATTCCCGCCACTCCCTCGGCGAACGTTCCGTCGCCTAGCAACCATGGAACCGCTGAGCAGAAGGGAGAAGGAACTTTAAACATGGAGCTCGGAGTTTTATTTAGCTTTTTAATCATTTCCTTGACTGTTGGAGAGCTAATTCAGAGAAAATACTTTCGACTAGCTGAGCCTGAGCAAAGATGTGATAATAGTTTTTAATACTTTCTAAGGGTCTTAATTTGACCAAAACCGATTTATCACCTTTTAAGCCTTAACAAGACCCAGCGGATACCCTGTAATATTAAACAATTCACATTTGTAAACAAAAACAAAATTCAAGTGTTTAATACAGAACTGATTTTGAAACGAGCGTGCACTTTAGTGGTTCCGTTAGAATACGCTGCTTTTTCAGGGTGATGAGGCCGCAGTGAGTTTTATTGTACAGACCCTGGTTTGGACTCCCTAATTAGAACTCATTTTCTATTTTAAGGTGGATTAGAGATTGCCGTACTTGTTTTCCTGTGACAACACACTTTCCTTTTAAATTCCCCGTTATTCAGCGGTTTTGAATACTAGGGGCGAATACTTCTTCTGTCCCTCATTCCTTTCAGTTGGACCACTCCTCTTTATCACCTGCCTGATTCCACTCGCATCAGCAGGCTCTCGCTTATCTTTGCTTTCCTTGTGACCTCTTTTATTACCTCCATTGTTTCTGGCATGCGAGAGCTTGCAATAATTTTATTTAGATATTTCTTTTATATGTAAATGTTTAATCTTTCTTAACCATTTTTTCTAGCAAGCCTGTCAAAATTCTTCCTTCTCTCCTGTGCCCTCTGCTGCTCTGCCTCCCTATGCAGCCTCAAGTCCTCCCTGATCAGCTCCAGAAGCTGGTCATCACTGTCACCTTCCCCTGGATGCCCATTTTCTCCAGAATAGTCCTAACAAACATGTAAGAAAAAAACAGGAAGAGAAAAGATAGAGAAAAGAGGACAACGGGTTATTCCTTTCATGTTTTCGCAGAACAAACTAAACTCAAACGACAGTTTTTAAAATATGAGATGTTATTGTACCTCCATGCCACAGCCGCCGAATACTTTGCTCCAGTGATCATGTGGTCCATCTCCGCCCTAAGCTTAATAAAGTCTGTGGTTTTCTCTTTTGTACCTAAAATGCAAACTTCTATTAAAATCATGGGGATAACGTAGCGGGAGAAGTATAACACCGAGCGGCCGAACACACGAGCCGAGACCGCAATACAAGCACTTTTACTGTAACATTTCAAACTAAAATAATGTTCATGTATCACAAAAAGTCCTTAACCTAACAGTGTTCAAGTTTATACTGACATTTATATGCGCAATCCTCTCCAACAGCTCCCTCTTCACTGTCCGCCATTGTTTTTAAAAGTTCTGCCATCCGGCCCGCAAGGCATCTTGGGAAATGTGAACCATTGAAGGATACACCGGACCCATCCTTCATGCAGGCGAAAATGAAGGCCGGATTTGTGGCTCGCATTTAGAGTCTTCAAATTGGGACAGGCCTAGTCGCGGCACTGTGACGTAGCCGGCCGACAAATCCGGCCAACGAAGGATGCAGACCCTGAATTGAGACACAGCTACAGGCTCACAACGACATTGTGACATCATATGCTACCAGCCAACATTCTAGGGTACCTTTTAGCCAACAGCGATTGCAGATTTAAATTCAAATGCAGTGCAGAGTTTTTACCTGACAACGGCACAACACTGACAGTTTTAGGCAGAAAAAAAAATTCTAAAATGCACTAAAGTGCTAAACTATTGACTACACGTGTCTGCAGCACGATTAAACACGCATTTATATAGTTTATCAGAAAAAAAAGTTGATTTGGGGTGACTTGCTCTTTAAACGATCAAGATAAAATTCCGTGAAATGACATTACACAGATCAATACAGAAAAAATTCTTATGGGTTAATTTACAAAAACAGATAGCTCTGTTTTTATACACTTTCAAACAATACTTATTTTGTCATTTACTTCAGGCAATTTCAGTCAAAAATTGCTTTTATTTGTTTTTTCGAGTGAAATGTTGAAATTTAATTTTTTTTTCTTTACTGTTTACACACAAACTGTTATTACATATTTCATTAAATGGTGAACATGATACACTAAAAGTTGTCATGTTGTGGGCAAGCTGTTTAACTCAGGACATGAAGAACCACACGAAAAAGCAGGTAAGTAAAATAGTAAAATGATTTATTAACTGTGGATAAGGAAAACTAAAGGTGCTGCTCCAGAAAACACAGGAACAGGACGGGACTGGAATCTAAAACGAAAGAATAAACAATCGTGAAACTTGTGCAGGAACCAGAGAACCAAGAGAATAATCTATTTCTGGGTAGAGATGTTCCAATGGTCATAGACCAGGGCTTAGCGGTGGTGGACTGGGTGAAGATCAGTTGAGGAGAGGCGAGAGAACCGATGACTGAAGAGGAGGTGGTCAGGAGATGGTTGTATGAGTCCAGGGTGTAGGTTGGCAGGCATGCAAGCGATGGAGAGTGGAGGCCAGACGATCCTGAAGAGCGGGACGTGGAATACAGCTCCAAGCGTGGTTAGAGGATACGAGGTGAGATACTGGAACAAGAACGTACAGGATTTCATAGGACAAGTTTGCAGGAATTTCAGGAGATATACTGGGCTAGAAGCTACCCTTGGTGAGAGTATCAACCGGTGTCAGTACAGGTTCTGCTTGGGTGCAGGATCGGCTCGGGGTCCTTCGACTGCCGATGACGTCAAAGTAGTTGATTGGCTTAACA